ATATTTAATTATTCTGCTTAAAATTTCCGATTAAAACTAATTGACAACCCTGCGTTAAAACTTCGATTAAAACCGATTTTCAAAATTGGAATCAGCTTTAATCAAATTAAAATTTTGCCATTCGATTTTATTATGTAGAGGAAATTTCTGAAAATCTCTAAACAATTCTCTGAAAAACTTTGAAAATCTATGAATATCTATGAAAATCTATAAACTGTTACCATGAAAATTTTTGAAAATCACTGAAATACTCTAATAATCTCTGAAATTTTACTAGAAAAAATCTCTGAAAAACTCTGAAACGTGTCCGAATTTCTAGAGTTTTTCAGGACAATTTTCAGACTTTTTCAGAGAAATTTTCAGAGAATTTCAGAAAAATTTTTTTACCAGGGAAGTGAGGTAGAAGAATACCTTGTTCAAAATACAAAACAATCGTGCACACGGTGCTGACAAGTCACATGCAAGTGTCCTGTGGAAGAGTATTACGCGATATAGAGAAACATGGAACGTTTCGAGCGAGAGGAAAACGAACTACTGGAGCAGAGTCGCCAGATCATCACTCTGGTAGAGTGTTTTGCGTGGTTGCAACGATGCGAGTGCATCGAGCGACTGGAAGAACTCTGTCGCGCCAAGTGTCCTCGGTTCGCCGTCGGAAGTAGATAGTCCACGGTGGCGAGGATCGCGCGACTTGCTAGTGAAAGAGTGCGCATGGAGAGACGATTCGTCCACGCGGGTGCCAGACACAGTGCGGGAGGATTTGTGTGGCAACAGATCGATACCGTGTTCAACAATCGCGTTCTGACCAGTGCGGTAATCAACACGGATTATATCGAGCCGCAGCGATTTTTGGAGGACGCGGGCGATACAGTACTCAAGCAAGTGTGAGACGCTACCGAGAGACACGGTAGCGTGAAAGTGAACACCGTGTTCAACGGGGAGTTTACGTCGAGTGACAAACGCACCACTATAAGTTTATACATGCGAAATGCAGAACTATATCAAACGTTCGTTCGTTTGTGTGAACATTCAAAGTGAAATAACACGATGTCGTACGGACAACAAGAAGAAATCTTTTGCAAGATTAACAACATTCCCGAGCAATATTATTTACTGTTTTTCACAACGTACCCACTCAATATTTCCAATACGAAGAAATTACACGTAGGATTGCAATCAACGGGGGAAGGTACTGTTACGTCCTGAGGACTCCACGATTCTTTTCTTTCGTGGAAAGTTCCGGAAGCGGCAAGTCGATATTAGCGGCGACTATTTTATTACGTGCTCAATTTAAGACTTCCTGCGTTTTAAGAAGCGGATGTGCAAGAGTCGTCAATAGAAAAATCTCTTGCCGATAACCCCATTGCCCTACAATTAAGTAAATAGAGAAGATCGCCGCCTGGTTCCAACGTGTGAGTTCTGAGAAAAGAGACTCTTCCGGTCCCAAAAGATAAAAATTCGTTAATAAATTCGGCACGCGCCAAACTAGACGAGAACCTTATCTATCGGCTGTCAATGTCGCACGAAACTCGCAATCGGATCGCTCTCGGATCTGAGCGATTGTCCACTCTAGATAAGGGTCATCGCGATAACTTTTTCCGGAAGTCGTATCTGCCGAAAAACAGAGGAGGTGAACCGGGGCTCCTGAGTATATATAGAGCTTCTCTAGGCGTTTCGCGATACATTCAGAATTCAGAATTTAGCATTCAGCATCCAGAACTTAGTATTCATCATTCGGCATTTAGTATTCGCCATTTAATAGATCGTCGCCCTGTCACTTTAACCGTCGCTGCCAGGGAGCGCGTAAGAACTTAGAGTCTGTGCGTGCTTAAAAATCGAGTGCCGAGGATCGCTCCATCAACCCTCCTGGAGAGATAGAGAAGCCTCAATCAACCAGCCCTCGAGATCCCCGGCTCCTACCCGACGTAGGCCCCCGCCAGCTTCCACAGCTCTCTCTCAATTTCAATCAACAAGTAGTAAGTCGTCACCTTTTATAATTTAAACCGGGGTTAACTCAGATAGCGACTTGTCTCTAATCAGTCTCGTCTTTAGTGCGTCGCGGACTAAATTTGAATTTTCCACCGCGGCCTCGCGACTTGCGATCAACTCATCGTCGCCGAAGGCAAGAAGCACGGAGACTTCTAGATCAAGCCTACCAGGAGTGGCTAAACTCCTTGGAGGATTCGACAGAGAGACCGGAGAATCCGAAAGCTGCTGACTCTCCGTCACCAGCCGCTCCTCCGGTTAACTCTCATCCCCCACTTCCCGAAGAAATTCTCGTCCCCACTCACCATCATCTGTTTTAACTTACAGAATCTTCCTAGACTCTCCCTCGCTAACCCCCTCACCAACATTTTCTTCGCCCTCTTACTCTCCTTCCTATTCCCCAGCTCCTATTTCCCCAGACGAAGCTCGCTTCCTCTCACCCGCGTGCTCCATCGAGACCGTGAACGTAGAGAACGACATACGAGTAAGGTAAATGTCCCTATTTGTGACCATGACCCTATTTGTGACCACTCGCGAATTTTTATTAAACTAATCAGAAATTTTAAGTAATTTACTTTCGAAAATAATATTCATCACGTTTAGCGATTAATAATCCACGATTTGATATAGGGTTTCAGTGAAATTTGACTAACAAATATTCATAAAAATGTGAAATAAGACGCTCGTGTCGCCATTAGTGACGATCGAGCGCAAGTTTGTCGTCACGTTAGTAGATGTGGCGTTTGTAGCATCACAATTGCGATCTCGCTTACGCTGTCAAGAAGTCAGAAGAAGAATAATTTTGTGTTAAAGTATTAATAAAGTGAAGTTTATAAGTTGTGATCTTTGTGAATTCTGGAAAAGGTTGGTAGTTTTGAATATATAAACGAATATTACAGATAGGTACAACAAAGCACGCATGTTTTCATTTGTGACTGGCTCAAGAAAATTAGCCGTAATAGTAAATTTCGCTGCTTTCAAAAAGAAAAGCGTTATTAATATTCATTTCCATACACTTCTAAACGGGTGTGAGTTGCATTTGTATATGAATAAACGAAAAAATATTCGAGTATGCTCCAAGGAAAACTTTAGTGACAACGTTATCACAAAGGTTAGCTTCAGGTTATTTACAAATTAGGACATCGTGCGTTTGTACCGATTTGTAACCACGGCTTTAAATTACTTATTTAATTACTTATAAAGTACTTATTAAGTGATTTTTTATTAAGTAATATCAAATATAAAAAAAGTATTTTATTTCAATGACGTTATTTTATTATTTATCGCTAATTAGAAAACAAGAAATGTAATAATAGATTACATATATAGAGTAAAAATGAGATAACACTAAAAATCTATTTTTAAAATTTTTATTATTTTTTATTATCGTTTTTTATTATTTTGCGTGAAAATTATAATAAAAAGTTTTTTTCTATTTCCGAAATTTTATAATATTCATGATTTTTATTTCTGATTTGTTGATTGAAGTTTCAATTTAACATTATGGATAAAATCCGAAAGAAATGGTCAGACGCAGAACTCGAAAAGGCACTTGCTGATGTTCGTTCTGAAAAGTCAGTAAATTATATTGGTAAATCGAGTAGTATCCCTAAATCAACGCTAATAGCAAAATTGAGAGGACATCGACCAATTGGAAAGAGATCAGGCCCTCCTACTGTATTATCTACTGATGAAGAGGCAATAATTGTGCGCTGGATGCTTCATCTCAGTTCACGAGGCTTCCCAGTCACAAAAACATAACTATTTTATAACGTTTCATATTTAATCAAACAATTGAATCGACAAACACCATTTACTGAGGGACAACCAGGGCGTCATTGAAATGAAGCGTTTTTACGTCGGCATCCGGAGATTTCTATTCGCGTAGCTCAACTTGTCTAAAAGTCGAGCGTCAGTGACAGAAAATAATCTGTGCGGTTGGTTCAAAGAGATTGAACAGCATTTAACTAAGAAACAGTTAATAGACATCAATGGCGACCGGATATTTAATTGCGACGAGTCTGCCTTCTATCTTTGTCTGAAAGGAAAACGTGTGTTAGTCAGAAAAGGAGATAAAGCAGTTTATAACTTTATGCAAAATGACGAGAAGGAATGCTTGACAGTCCTATTCATGACAAACGCTACGGGTGCATTGATTCCACCAATGATAGTTTTTCCGTATCAAAGAATTCCTTACAGCGTTTCGCAAAGTGTACCAATTAATTGGAGTATTGGAAAGTCAGAAAATGGATGGATGACAGCCGAAACTTTCTATGAATATATAAGTAACACTTTTGAGCCATGGTTGACAGCACAGAACATCGAGAGGCCGGTTATTCTGTATGTCGACGGACATTCTTCACACATGACGTTACCGATTGCTGAGTTTTGTATGGATCATCAAATAGAACTTATCGCATCTCGAACGCAACACATCTGATTCAGCCGCTTGATGTTGCTTTGTTTCGGACGGTTAAATCGAGCTGGAGAGACTGCGTAAACGATTGGCGAGTACAAAATCAAAGGAATTTACGAAGAGAAGATTTTGGTCCGCTCCTTAAAATCGCTATAAATGCATATAATAATCGCTTAATATAAATAATCGCTTAAATGCATAGAACTTCCAAGGGTGATGAGCAATGGTTTCAGGAAATGTGGTCTTTTCCCGTTTTCACCCGATGCACTTCAATACAGTGAACTGCTGCAGAAGACAAAAATGATACGACCAAAGAAGACTCAGGATCAGGACAAGAACAGAATATTGAAAATCATTTATTGTTTTTTGAGAGTAATATCGATGAAAATTTGTTGAGCACATTCAGACATGCTAATAAAACTGGGGTCTACAATGGCAACGTTGAAGACCTTTTCTTTTTTTGGCAAAAGATTTTGAAATTATCAAGTAATAACTTTTACAATTTTTAATTTTTTAAAATATTTTTAACTTTTTTTATATACATGTATATTTTTTAGGAATGATTACGATTATTCATGAATTTCAAATAAAATTATCATTGATGACACAACGAATTATTGGTCAATGTTTATCCAATCTGATTAGGTTTGACTGGTTCTTCTTTTTTTCAAGAATAAATAAAATTAAATTTCGCAACCCATTAATTTATAAATATAAATATATAAATTATAAATATATATATATATAAATATATATTTTTATAAATATATATATATATATATATATATATAATTCTGTACGTTTTAATTTATTATTGACACACTACTTTTGCATATACAATTAATAAATTGAATTATATTCCGCGTCTGATTTTAATCAATTTGCTTTACTTCAAAAAGTAATATTATTTTATAAAGCAACTTATTTAATCATAAATAAATATCAATTAGGCAGACATAAGCCTATCATAATGCTTTGATTTGATGGGATAAAAATTGAGTCAATGTGTGTTGTCTATCTGATTTGATTTTGAAATGAATTAATTTTTTTAATTCATATCTTAAATTGCTTTTTAAGGAGGCCATTCCAGTATTCCAAATACTAAAGACTCTAATTTTACGGATCAAATTGACATTATTGTCATAAATGACTCAAATCAGAATCTTGATTCCAGCACTAGTCGTGAAACTTGTGCCTTAGAATCTAATTTCAATGTTGCATTCGATCGATTAAATAATTCAATGCAAGATATAAAAAGAGAGAAAAACATTTCGTCACTGAAGAATCCTGAAAACAATTCGACGGACGTCTCAATCTTTCAAGAGCACCCTAGTCTTCAACTTGCAGACTCGATTGATGCCGAAGGAAATGAAGAAGGCTCCAATGATCTTATTGTTAGATCGAATGATTCTCATTGTCAGATCGTAATGAAAAACAATACAGCCCCTGCAAGATCCTCATAAACCAATACTGAGGATACGACAATGAATAAGTAAATGTTATAAAATTTTTAGCATAATTATTATCAATTGTTATACTCAATTGATAAAAAAAAATCGTTCTACTTTTTCAGAGCATCCAATGCTAATGTCAATACCATTAGAAATACACAATCAGTGTCTACTATCGTCAATGACGAAGGTAAATAATATAAGTACATGTTAAGTGATATTTTATTAAAAAGTTAAATATTTAATCTCTATCATTACTCAGATTGTTTGGATGTTCCTTCTGATATCCCAGATGTTTTCAAAAATACTATATTTTGGCCCCGCAAAAATAATTCAGCAAGGAAAAAACGTGATCTAAAAGTCAAAGTGCCTTCAGTGGCCACTTCGTTAGCCTGGCAAGAATATCATCGAACGAAAGAAATGGAAAAAAGTCAACGTCTAATTGCGATCGAAGAGAGGAAAAGAAAACGTCAAAAAACGGCTGAAAAGAAAAAGTAAGAAATAGAGGAGAAGAAAAGGCAAAAAATGTTGCAACAAGCCGAAAAAGCCAGCCAAAAAAGCAATAATAAATCAAGCAAGAAAAGTGGACGTAAGAAATAATATGCATACTATATTTTGTTTACAGCAAATAAAAGATTACTACGAATAAAAGATACTTTCTTATTTTATTTGAGTTCTTTTTATAATTTCTTATTCTATTTGTAAGTACTTATACATAAAACATAAAATATAGCTTTTTATTTTATTTTTAATAACATTTTAATTATTGAGATTATATTTTTCCTCAATTTCAGTCTTTACTTGTAAAACTAAACGTGTATCGAGAAAATTCATCCGCCGTTCACAAAATAGTACGTTATTTGATCTGGTGTACCGGTCACTAACCGGGACAGATGGGTGGTCATTAATAGAGCCAAATTAAAATCAAGCGGTCACTAATGCGTACATTTACATCATCTGCAATTTCTTTTTTATATTTATTAGATTATGTTTAAAACTCCAATAAAACGAGTTTTTCGATACAAAAATAAATAATCTTGAGTTTGGTATAACTATTTTTTTATTTTAATCACTTTAAAATATTTTCCTTTTTTATTAATGTGTGTCATTATTTTAGATGGTCAAAAATAGGGACATTTACCTTACCTTCTCCGGCAAGTTCCACGACTGACGTAGAATTTCTTGAAGAAATCCCCCCTCATCCTCGCTACTATTACTCTTGTGAAGAACATGACTCATTAGAATCGCTAATATCTTAATTCCCACAGCAACTCTCCTCAAACCTAACACCTATGCCATCGGTCCGAATGCCTTTAGCGTCAAAGAAATCCGTTCCGTAGTCAGATTACTTGCTCCCCATGACAGCATTCCGGTATATATGCACCACTCCCCTTTCCCCTATTTAGTTCCCGTTCTCTTCTTTTATAATTTCTTCCCTCCTTCTACCGCGACGCTGGAGGAGCTCTCCAAAGAGGAATAATAATAGCAATAATAAATAGAATATACCATAACTCATAAAAATGCTATATTTTATGAATTTCTACTTTTATTCCTCCCCCCGTATCCTCTTTATTTGAGTTTATAAAATGTCTATATATATATATAATTCCTATATAATATGAAATTTCCGAAACTTTAACCCTTGTAATTCTAAATGCGGTATCTTTGAATCTCTGATAGCGGGCGACTTGAATTGCAAACTCGACTTAACCTACAGTTAGTATTTTCGTAATTTTAAACAGTAATTGTTAACATGATATTAGTTAAGCTAGCACCTAAGCGTAATTGTAACCTTTACAGTTAATTTCAAATGAAATTAACCTACTAAATTCTTACGCTTAAACGGTCACACCCAAATTTGTTAGACATGAAATTTGTTAATTTATTGTTAGATAGTAATAAACCTAATTGTTACCCCCAATTGCCGCAAAAGGAGATTTCTTGCAGTCTTAATTATTTGCATTCTGTAGATAAATATAGCTAGACTAACTAGCTTATTTGCTATCTGCACACATACATACAGAGGCATACTAGTGGAGTGCAATTAGACAAAAACGGCTATCATTAAGGAATAATTACACGCAGCATGAATTTCAATGAAACCTTTTGAATTATTTTCTAATTGGTATTAGAAAAGAAGTTTACCTCCTAAAAATGTGCGCTTTTTGAAAATTGTTAAAAAATTTTATACACATACACATATACACATTTTATACATATACACATTCAGTCATAATTGTGTGTATTATGTACGTGTGTCCGAATATCGGGTTCATATACCTGCGCTCAAATTCCTGCGCACAGCTGCTGAGAGCATTCGAGCGGCATTTATACAGATATATATATATATATATATATATATATATATGCATACATACACTGTTTCACTTAGAATGTGTTGCTGTGATATACATCCATTACTTAAACATGTTTTAAAATATTAAATAACACTTA